ATATATTTTTTTATGATAAATTAATATAAAAATTAAAAATATAATAATTATTTAATATTATTAAGACAAAAAATAAAGTTGAAACTAATTAAATAAATATTAATTAAAAACCATGACCAAAAATTAAAAAATTAAAAAGAAAAAATTTGTTAATAAAATTAAAAAAATTCCAATGCACTAGTTGTTCGGTACAAAAAACTATTTTAGATAGTTTTTTCAATCTCAAACTGCTGAATAAAAAGGTTTACGAAACACCTAATTTATAATAATTTCAAAATAAATAATTTTATAAAACACTTATTTTTACCGGTTTCAGCAAAATTATTAACTATTACCTCAAAACCACTTTTACCGAATAGACCCTTAAAATTAATTTTTTTGTCATTTAAAATATTTTTATAAAAAATAGAGATTTTATTAGATTCATAAAACTGAGATCACACAATCCTTATATTACTGGAGCTTAATAAAAACTTAGCCTACAGCACTGGATATAGACAAAAACTATACCTATGGCAAATATGGGCAATTAAGAGAAGAAAGCCATCTATATCTCACGATCATTGTCACATCTTAGAACCCAAATCCGAGAACGTGGCAGACGCCGTGCACTCGTTAAAAGGTCTCACAAATGCACAAGGTTCGGAACTTATCATATCACATCTGACAATCCAATAACTTAAATAATATATTTCAAATTAATTATATATCCAACACTTAAGCTCAAAATCTCAAGGTAAAATTTATCTTACAAAAGCATGATTTATTTATAAAATCTATATCAATCTTGAAATGGCTAGTCTTCTAACTCGTCACTTCCCGTGATTTCCCTGTCCTCGGCTTCGCTTTTTGAAATGGTGGACTAAGAAAAACTATGAGATAAACTCAGTAAGTAAAATATGGAGTGCCCCTTATTAAACTTATAGCAACAAGTGTAATAACGAAAAACGGATACTGTAATATCCCAAAATTTTGGGGATATTTTAGCATTAAATAAGGGACTTATTTGAGGGAAAATATTGTCTTGGGGGTTAATCGTAAAATTTTAAAAAGTTGAGGGGCTAAAAAGAAAGGAAATTAGGATAAGGATCAGCTGATATTTTCATTCCTTTTCTTCCCAGCCATACACGTTTCTGCTCTGCTCTTCTTCTTTGTGCAGC